GGAGGAGGAGGTCGCCGGCGAGGGGCTGGGGAAGAGGAGATCGGCGGCGGGGTTGGTTGAAGCCGACGCTTTTCTCCTTCTCCGCGTTACGGCTAAAAGTAAAGAATTGAAACTTAAAGGGCCGTGCGAACTGATCTTCACACCGTGTTGGCGATGTCCAAATTCTTGCTGATTATCCCGGTGGTCAGCCTGAGTGCAGTTGGCCTTCTCTATCGCCTCGTCGACCATCCTGCAGAGTGCACACACAGGCAGGAGCCTGAGTGCAGTTGGCCTTCTCTATCGCCTCGTCGACCATCCTGCAGAGTGCACACACAGGCAGGCAAAAAGGCACTTGGTCAGACGCTAGAAGTTCAGAATTCAAGAACCAGTTTAATTGTCGTCACGTGGAAACTTTGGCGTACTTGAACTTCACGAGGGACATCACGGGGCCAAATTTAAATAAGTATTTTTTGTGTTATATATGCCGTACATTTTTCTATAAGTAATTTTAGGAGCTCAATGGCGGTTAGGAGCATGTTAACTAACCTGGAAGATGGGTAGGAATATCTTGATGCGTATATGGTTAGTTATCTGGCTGATTTCAAATACTTCCGGCTGATGAAACTGAATTCCACTCTCACGCTCAAAAAGCGACCATTCTCGAAGACCATTTCACAGCAATTATCGGCTCAGCACCACACACCTTCTGGTCCTTCGATCCTAAAAATACTACCCCAAACGTTACCACAACTTAGCTCGCTTGACTCCCCTTTCACACTAGATGAAATTAAAAATGCGTTCCTCCAAATGAACCCCCTAGCTAGCCGAGGACCGGATGGCTTCGGCCCGCTGCTCTACAGAAAATACTGGAACTTGGTTAAGGCTCACATCCACTCCTTCATGACGGACTTTCAAAATCTTAACGCTCATATTGAAAGGCTTAACAGAGCACACCTCATTCTACTACCCAAAAAAGATCACGCCAACACTCCCCACGCCTACCGCCCGATCTCCCTCCAAAATTGTCCCATCAAATCCTTGCAAAAGTGCTTACCAACAGACTAAAACCGATAATACCACTGCTTGTCCATGGCAACCAAACTGGTTTCATTCGAGGGCGTACCATAGCTGAAAATTTTATCTTCGCTGCAGACCTCATAGGCGCCTGCCATACCAGAAAAGCCCCAACCATGGTCATTAAATTGGACTTTAGCAAAGCCTTCGACTCCCTCTCTTGGGACTCTCTTGCTTCCATCTTTCGCTGCCACGGCTTCTCGCCAAAATTCTCAGCATGGGTTCATGACCTCCTAGCAACCGGGAAAACTGCCGTGATGCTGAATGGGATCCCCAGAAACTGGATAAATTGCAAAAATGGGCTCAGACGCGGTGGCCCTATCTCGCCCTACCTCTTCATCATCGTTGCTGATCTCCTACAACAAATGATCCAACAAGACTGCGACCTAGCTCATATCAGTCACCCCCTGTTCTCGCATCTCTCGCCAAATGTTTTACAATATGCCGACGACACCATCATCATCGCCAAGGCATCCAATGACGCTGCTCAGCAGTTAAAAAACATCCTTCACGATTTCGCCATGGCCACTGGCCTCACTATCAACTTCGCAAAACAACTTTCGTGCCCATGCACGTCAACACTGCCATGATAGACTCCATTGCCTCCACCTTGCAATGCCCAACCTCAACTTTTCCACAGATCTACCTAGGCCTCCCCCTAACACCCACACGACTACCTACAAATGCCTTCCTACCGATCATCGAACGCTGCCGTAAATTCTTGACGGGTTGGTGCGCAAAAATCCTCTCCAAAGGGGATAGGCTCATCCTATTATCAGCTGTCCTCGACTCCCTTCTAGTCTACTTCATGTCAGTCTTCCCCATCCCCAAAAATGTTCTAAAAACCCTAGACTCTATTCGACGAGCTTTTTTTTGGGCTGCGGAGGAAACTTGCACTGGTGCTCAATGCTTAGTTGCCTGAAAAAATGTGTGTAAACCAAAGAACTGTGGTGGTCTAGGTCTAAAAAATCTTCATCAGAAGAACAAATACTTACTTATGAAATTTGTTGTAAAAGCTCTATTACCAGACAAAACACCTTGGTTAGACTGGATCGCCTTGCAACACCCAAATGCCCTCATTGCTCCACAAAATAGCCACTCCTTCATTTGTCGAACAATAAATCAACAGCTGCCAGCACTCCATGCCATCTCATTTGTACTCACAAACTCCGGCACTAATACGTACTTCTGGCTAGATACTTGGATACACAACAAACCCCTTGCTACTTTATTCCCCTGCCTATATTCACACAACTATACCACTAGCTCGTGTGGCTGCTGTCCTG